AGCGTGACCTTGTTCAAACATACGTGAGAGGAGTCCCATGGGTAAACATACAGGGAGAGTATTGATAAACCAGTGCCAAGGGTCTAGTAACAGGGGCACTCACTTTTTACACTTAATTATACTTACTTGTATCTTCTTTTTGTTTAGTATATGTATTTTGACAAAATGTATGTCTGTATGCCTAAAGCAATTAGGGTGGTGCAACTAAGCATATTTGAATCCTGTTCACTTTTTCCAATGCAACAACTTACAAAAATGGTAAAAAATATAAATAAATAAATAAAATTAACAATATTCATTTGGGGATTTTAAATGAATCATCACAAAGCATTATATTAAAATAATATAATTAAGTAGCTCTATAGAAATGAGCATTTTTATTGTCAGGTCAGGTCCTGTTCAGATGATGTCTGATAATATAGTGGCTATGGGCAATGAGTCAGAAGCAGAACTAAACCAACAAGGCACAAGGCACATTACCGACATTATAACTTAGCAAAATACATAAGCAGCTGAGATATCTGATGTTCTCTTGTGAGAATCTAATGCTACCAGGGAAAAAAACAACTCTGCTATTTGTATATTCAGCACAAACATGGCACAGGCAGAAGAATCCTGGGCACTCTACACTCCCAAATGCAAACATATTTCTGTCCCCCACTTGGAAAGCCTCTGAGCCTCTCCTTGCTTCATTCAGTACAAATAACTTCACGGTGGGATAAAAGCATAATGTTTCCAGAAAACCTCTTCCCCCTGAAATGCTCCTTTTGGCCTGGTGCACTCTGCGCTTCCCCCTCCACTTGTGCTCTCCAAAAGGACATTCTTATTTCATTAGAGGCGAGTCTGGGAGGCCAAGAGGGTAAACAAAACCTTAGTAATCAACAGCAGGACATATACACAACCACAAAGAGCCAATCAGAGCACAGCATCCGCCTGAACACAACCATAGCTAACCAGTCCAAGTCAACACCTGGACGTGCACCACTTGAACTTGCCAATTTCAACTCAGCACTTTGCTTTTATGGAGCGCAAAGTACAGCCTCCATTGGGAATCAAGGTTGTCCATAGGAAAGACCCAGGTTTTGGTCATGTAAGAGTGGGGCGCTAACATGGATAGGACAGGAAAAAAAGTAGGCTAGTTCTGGAGATCAAAATACAATTCAAGTAGCATGGTTAAAGGTCTTATATTACACCAAATTGACAATTGAGATCTTAAAGCCATGTTATAATCTTGTTACCTCTTCAAAAACTTACCTGAAGTTGTGTTTTGTTTCATTCACACATGTTTAAGGAATCTTAGTCGAAATCTGTCTACATCTCCAAAGCTCAAAATCCTCTCTTCCACCTTGTGATGCCATGTAGTGGTAGTTTTTAAGTTAACAGCTGCTTTAACCTTCAGATTAGTAGAGACTGGCAATTCCAGGGCACTGAGAGAAGAACCTGGCCTAAATATGCAGTGTGCATGTGTGTTTAACATGTGTGAATGAAACAAAACACAACTCCAGGACTGTTTGTGATGAGGAAACAACATTATAACATAGCTCAGAAAATAGCAAACCGAGTGTTTGCAGCTGAGTGTGAAGTGGCTGGGATGAAGATCACCTCCTCCAAATCCTAGGCCATGGTTCTCAACCAGAAAAAGGTGGCTTGCCTTCTCTGGGTGGGTGGAGAGTCCCTGCCTCAAGTGGAGGAGTTCAAGTATCTCGGGTCTTGTTCACAAGTGAGAGGAGGATGGAGTGTGAGATTGACAGGCAAATCAGTGCAGCATCTGCAGTGATGAGGTCACTCTGTTGGACTATTGTGAAGAGGGAGCTGAGCAGAAAGGCTCTTGATTTACCGCTAAATCTACATTCCTCCCCTCACCTATGGTCATGAGTTTTAGGTAATCTCTCCTGGACGCTTCACCCAGGGAAGACCCAGGACATGCTGGAGGAACTATGTCTCTCACCTTGGGGTCCCCCTGAAGGAGCTGGAGGAAGTGTCCAAGGTGAAGGAAGTATAGGAGTCCCTGCTTAGACTGCTGCCCCTGTGACCTGGGCCCCGGATAAGTGAAAGAAAATGGATGGATGGATCAGAAAATAGCATAATATCATGTAACATGTACCGTAATGTCATGTAGCCTATGTCAAATCTGTCAGATGGAGGCATTATGTTTTCAATAGTCTGGTAATTCATTAATATATGAAGACAGTTTCTAATTACAAGTTATTTTAATAAGATAACTGACATTGTTGGACAACTATTTCAGATATTCAAAATGACAGGCAGCTTGGATCCATTATTGTCAGTTCAACAGTGGCTGAGGTGGATGCCTGTTGGGCCCTGTGAATCAGCAATAGGAAGAGCAGCCCATAAGAGACACTTGCCCACAGACAGGGATTGTGGCCTATTTGTCTATCTGTGCTGTCATCTCTGTTTGTTCACATTAGGAGATCTCATTCAGGGACAGGATATAAGGCTTTGGTCAGGCTTTATTGCGCTGTAGCTACATACTGCTAAATAGCTCCCATCTGTTCCCCCATAGCGTCCGGCTAATAATGGCTAGCTGTGCTCACGTTTTACACCACCAGAATAACATGGGCGGATAGATGAGCAGCGCTGATATGGCTAGCCACAACACCACTTTGTGCTAAAGGCTAATGTCCCCGGCTTATTATATTAGATCTGGATAAGACGCACTAATACATGGCGACGGATACACACACGTGCGGTCGCTGTATCTGATTGGAGATAGTGGGCCAGTAGACTAGTCACTGGTCCAACTACCTTGAAGGAGTATACATTAATGAAGAGGAGGAAAGAAAAAAACTATGTGGAAGTGGAAAGAGAGACAGAGAAAGGGGGCAGTGTGGTCTGTTTCATTACGGTGAATCCTGACACTGCCGCATTCTCCGCACACATGGACCGGATTAGAGACAACTATATGTGGGGCACTTCAGCGCTCTCAAATGCTCTTTTACTTGCAAAAATGATGACTAAACGTGAACAAATTGATGTAATTGCTGCAAAAAAAACAAACTATTTGCTTACAAATTTGCATGAAGCCTACTAATCCTAAAAGCTGCATGAAGCCAGAGTGCACGACTCACTAAGTCATTGAGGTTAGAAGAAAAATCTGTTTGTGATGGTCCACCTGTGGATTACTGAGGGCAAGGAATGAGAATCATTGGAAACTATTAGTACCATTCAAACTGATTCTCTCTCTCTTTACAATTTGAAATGCACCAACACATGCATAGTTGTTCTCCACACTGTCTTTCCTTTATGCTATTTAAGGAATGCCTTGCTTTTTCCAGTTCTGATTCTATGCTGCAAATGTATGAATGAAAAGGTTTAAAGGTGTAACTTTTCTGGTGGATGGCCCCGTCAAATGCTTTTCTCCATGGAAATGTTAATGCTTTGTCTGGAATGTTTCAAAGTATGGCATTAAACCTATGTATCCTCATGCACTGCAAAAAACTACATCTAGCCAAGTTAAGATGACTTGAATTAAGAAAGTTTTATCATGATTTCAGTACTTGACAAGTAAAATTATCTGCCAGTGGAATAAGTTTTATTCTTAAAATACGAAAATACATCTTGCTACACTTTTTGCACTTAAAACAAGAAACAATCGAATGATGCTTGAATTAAGAAAAACACACTTAACCCATTGGTGATAATGTTGCCAAGTTGAATCTATTTAAATAAAGTAAAATTATCTTAACTTAAGTCATTTTAATTTACCTAGATTTTTAATTTTTTTTCCCAGTGTGGAGACCAAACCAGACCAAGTTATAGGTCAGATCTGTGGAGAGGCGACCCCACTCAGAATGCCTATTTTTCTAGGCATTTTTGAGCTATAAAACGACCTGTAATTGAATAAATGTAAGGTAGAGCTGTTTAATGTTATACTGTGGAACATTCCAGGCAGAGCAATGACAAATCCATAGAAACAAGCAGGTGATGGACCCTTAACCAAAAAGTTATGCAGTGCACCTTTAAATATAGGGGTGTCCAAAAATATCGAAATATCAATATTTACATCATTTTACATCATTTATTGTGATGATACAGTATAGATATCGTGGGCTGCTGTATCGAGTATTTTACAATAAAACAATACATTTAAGCAAAGGAACTTGTGATTCGATACATTGTGACAGCCCACGATATTATTGTGAGACTTTTGACGATACGTTATCACGATATTTCGGTTACGTTACATTACGTTCCCGTGTACTAAAACAATTATGTGTAAACGTGTGCTAAAACCTCAGAGTGCAGACAGAGAAATGCCCGCCTACACCCGCTGCTACACCAACCACATTTAGAGACCGATTGCTTCGGGCTATTGCTCCTTCCTATTTCTATGTACATGTGTGCATTCAAAAGCATCCTGAAAGTCAATGGGGGGCTCAATATAAACTCCCAAAACAGGAATTATGGTTTATGACTTCACATTCTTGATTTTATGCATTTTAAGCTTGCAGCCTAAGAAATCTTAACTGTTCTGTGTTCTATTGTAATTAGGTGCCCCACACACTGGCACCAGGGCGGAGAGGTGGAGTGCTAAAAGTTTACTACAGAAAAAGCAGGGCATGGACAGACAGAGTAGTTCATCTCTGGTTTTTCTCACTCTGTCGTTTTTATCACCACTGGGCCCCGAAACATGCTTTTTAGCCTGCTAAGTATGTACAGGTCTAGCAGTGCAGAGCATAGCCTTAAGACTATATGAACAAGAGGCCTGCCCATAAGCGCTCTATAGAAACACAGCCATAAAACTGCGGGGCTCTTAAGTCAACTAAAATTCATATGTAAAAGGAAATAGAGTAGGTCTTATTACAGCCGCTTCAGTCAGAATGGGGTACTTTTGTGGTTATTGTGGTGCCATCCACGTTTCCACCAAAGCCCACAATAGAAACCCATTGTGCAAAAAGGTCATTAAAATACATGGAGCAAATGGGTTGTACAAATGAGCAGTGTATTATATATAAGATAAGAAAATATCCACGACTTACTATGAAAGGTGCACGGGAAGCGGTTGTCATGCCCAAATCCCCTCTTCATCATCCTATAAGAGAAAAAAAGTAAGAAATATTGTCTCATGTTCTTTTATATATAACTAGAAAGCCATTTTGAATTTGTTAGAAAGAATGCAATCACAGGTTAAAGCATTCACAATTTTACAAATTTTACTAATATATGCCATGTGGATCTGTTAGTCAATAAAGGGGACAAGGCATGGTATGCTACTACTTTACCATGCAGGTCTATGTAATCCAAAATTCACTCACGAATTCATGGGAGAACTGTATTTGCAGCGTCTTAAAATGTGAAAAGGTGACTGTACTGTACAATTCATCCCCAAAACTACAGCTAACTCACTTGATGCTTTCTCCTTTCTGTACCACTGATCAGAGAGCTGAGATGGTGAATTTAATCTGCCCGTGCTGTGGTTGTGTCATCTCCTTTCCTGTGACCCAACACTCCTGGTTTGCATCAAAAGAATCCAGTATGTTTTTCAGTCATAAAACCTATATGTGATATCTATCATAAGGAATGCTTTCGAGTAGAAATTGTACCATTGTTAGAAACCAATAACTTTAAACACAAGGGATTTCCGTGAGATTGAAACAGTGCAGATCGAGTGCTGCTATTAAGAAGGCTAATTCACCCAGACACGTACATTACGATTGTTAGCGTGAGCTGGCAGCTGACTGTAGTCTGTGTAATGCTAAACTCATCTTACACTAAGGCACAGTTGCTAATGTTACAGAAAAAGCTCCAGTCCAGTCCATTCTTTGGCTGGACTGAGTGATTTTGACAGGCTCGGTAAACTCTGTACGCTACACCTTAGAGAGGCTAAGCTATCGATATAATGGCCTTTCACTAAAACATGCTAGATGCTAAATGCTAACTTGTTGCTAAATGGTTGTGACAGGTGTGGTAAACAAAGCCGGACCTATAGCCATTTATTCTGCCAGGTCAAACACACACCAGCCAGTGACGTGTTACTTCACACAATGTATGAAGCAGGCATGTGCTAAGCTTCAGAAAATACCAACAATTAAACATTTGATAACTGTTTGAAATGGATACCACTGATTCTGTCTCTACTTTGTGTTCACCCACACCACAACCTTTAAAACAAAGTTAATAAAACAATAAACAACAAATAATATCTACACAGGGTTCCCATTCTTTTTCAATGATAAAATTTCTAAACTTTTCCATGACTTTTTCAGCACCCTACCTGTGGAGAATTCAGCATACTTTTAGAGCTAAATATGAAATGTTAACCCTTTCCACTCACCTTATGGTTTGGTAAAATACTGTCAATGCATTTATTGCCATTTCTTTTAAACAAAAGGTGCATATGTTCGGAAATAATCATAATAGCCTAATAAGAACTTAACAGAACGCTGTAGTTGTGTGAAAGAGATACTAAAATTCTATGACTTTTCCAAAACTTTCATTGAATTTACAAAATTCCATGACTTTTCCAGGCCTGAAAAATGACAATTTCAATCTCTATGACTTTTCCAGGATTTCCATGACCATGGGAACCCTGTCTACAACAAAAGCACAAAGAAGGAAAAGATACTTGGTTAATTTGAGCCACACGCGGTCTGTCAATCAATAGACATGAGATAGATACTTTGACCTATGCACATCTCCCTGGCTGTGATCTCAAATGAACTTCCTCCAAAGGTCAAAGGTCAGATATGAGGAAAACGTTGCTAAATGACTCGGTGACCTCTGTCAAACAGTACAGAGACTGTTGGTTTTTGCATATGGCTTTCCTAATATGGATAAATATTTAAATGTAACTTTAGGAGTCTACTATTCTCCATGTGTTTCTGATTCCCAAACTTATCTGAAGTCTCTTTTGATCGCAGTAATTTACAGTGAGTATCTTCACTAATCCACCGAGTGATTTCATCAATAAAAGGCAATAACATCCAGTGATATGCTTTACATTGAGGAAATATATTCACTTTATGAGCTGTGACACAGTTGCACTATAGATGTCTCAGTATTTAGTGTGAACTTGCAGGAAGACATGATTAAATCCTTAAAATCAAACGTTATATTGTTAGATTGATTTCACTTGTATTTAACCAAGTCCATTTGGAGTATAATATTCATTTCACACACAAAAACAGATGTTATTTTTGACCTTGCTGCTAAAAGATACCAACTTCTCAAAGTATTGTGTAGTGATAGTTTTTACAGTAAAAATACAATAGAAGAAAAATAAATAACTGAATAATAACAATTTGTATTATTAACTTTACTAGAAGAATTTGTTCAACCTTGGAGGTATTCTGTGATGTAATAAGAAAGTTTCAGTGCCAGTGTATATTAAAACACAAGGGGATTCCCAGTGCATGTTTGGCTTGAATTCTGACAAAGGCCGCTGATTTGTTAATTAAGTCTTAGAAATACTGTATGTATCTGCAACACTTTTTGGAACATTCTCAGGTGGAAATCCCCAGGTATCTGTTTTTGTTAAATGCCCCCTCACATATATATAGAACAGGTTAATGGTTAAAACACACAGAGATTGCAATAGACAAACATTTCTCATCTTTATAGACTTGGAATCTCCCTCAGTCAAGCTCCCTGACAACAATAGCACAGTGATGAGTTTATGTTACATTTATATATGGAAAAGCCTTCATCTGCTAATGGAAAGATAGTAAAATCATCTTTGACATGCTTCCTAGACCCCCCTTTAGTGGTTTCATCCAAGTATCAACATGGGATCACATGTCTCTATCTCTAAACCATCTGTACACACCTGTGATACACTTCATGCAACTGATAACAACAATTGTATTTTCATCTTCATACTTGCAGATTAAGTCAATGCTCGGGGCAGTCTGGATGCTATACTCAGACAGTGAAGACGGTGAACGATACATAAACTAATCTCACACAACAACGCCATCTATCAAAAACACTCATTTGGCAGTTCGTAGCTTCAGGGGCCTTATCTAAATGATGTGAATAACCCGCATTTGGCAGGAAGTCATAGGGCTGAGGGAGAAGAGACAGAGAAAGGGGATTTTGAGAGCTGTTAAGTGCAACCACAACTGACTGATGGAGGGGATGGATGTGAGATTGCAAAGGCAGCGATGTGGCAAACTATGTAAACAAGATCATGCCTCAAAGTGCTAGATCCTCGTGCTATGGTATGCAGCCTCAGATGGAGCACTCCATCTGGGGCGTTATTGAAATAGGTTTAGACTTATGTTAGATTAATAACCAGCAACTTGGACATGGGTACAATAACTTAGACTTGGACCTGATAATTTACAACTCATTTAGTTTTATATATATATATATATATATATATATATATATATATATATATATTTTTTTTTTTTTTTCAAAAAATTCCAGGTTACAGGTTAGGTCTGTGGAGATGTGAGCTCACTCACTAAAACAAACAAACAAACAATCGTGGCCTATGTATCAAGGTATGTATTGTATCATGGCCTATGTATCGAGGTATGTATCGGCAACTTCTTGATAATACTCAGCCCTAGTCCTGACCTGGTCCATGTGGGGTCGGTGGTTGGCATGTGGAGGTCCTCTGGGCAGACTCCGGTGGTGCATGTTCGCTGAGTGCAGATGGTGGGAGTGGTGGAGGTGGTGTTGAGGATGCAGAGGCTCCTCTTCATAGTTGTCTGAGATCAGCTTCATTCTATTCTGTGTCTGAAAAAGTTAACAAAATGTGAATGCAGGGAAAAATGGCAAATATCTGTACATCACAATGCAATAAGTATATGTTATTGAATCGCTAATTATAACATTACAAACATTACCAAAATCATAATTATATGTATTTCACAGAACAGTTGCATATTTCTAATTCAACAATAGAATGATTCATACATTTTTTCATGTGGAAAAAATAGCATTGCCGTAAATTTAAGTGGTTCACATATGTGGTTATGAGTATAAGTAAATAAGAAGAACACTTTGCATTAATTATTTTCAGCATGTTCAAAAGAATCATCTCAAAAAGCTATTCATAGTTCTCACACAGGGTTTTTGTTTAGTCTAAATGTTTATGGCATCTTAGAGTGATTATGCATTTAGGTTTTTGGATGAGGGCAGGGAGTGTGGAAAGACACAAGCAATGATAAAACTGTGAGCCGCTAACAACCTCTGACAGCTCATAAACTGACTCAGTCACGTCTGACAGATGAGAAAATCATAAGTCTGTCAAAAGGGATCCATAATGCCCATCATCCTCTAATTGGATTAAAACGCCTCAACTGAACAGTGAAGGTTTCATGTTGTGTAAGACCACAGGCGTTTTGGCTCAGGGCTACAGTAGCATTCATTTTAGATGTTGCTGATGACTTCTAAAGATGCATTTCTGTAAGGCTATAAAAGGCTAACTATGGCATTTGTTTGTGTGTGTTCCTACTTTTCTGGGAGTGACCTGTCAAACTGCCAGCTTCGATGCTTTTTAGTTAGATAAAAGCTGCTGTTGACGAACATTACCAATCATCCATAATCCAAGGAGGCCAGCTGTCAGAGAGGCTGACGGAGTGGGTGCAGAAACACTGACAGTTTCAGCTTTATTCTCCTAAGTACTGACCCCAAGCCCAGAGAATGTGAGGGAGCTGGATATGGAGTAAAGAGTGATAATGACAGTAGCAGGACTGATAGTTTTAGGGATTAGTAGTAGTAGTAGTAGTCGTCTTGACAGCAATGGTAGACGTGACATTATCATCATGTGATGGTAAATTAGCAGTTGCTTACAGGGGACATATTATAACTTTAGACTCAAATTTACTATGTATCATGTGTATGTAGAGTTCAAAAACACCATGAAGTCAATGTAAATAAATATCTGCTGTGTGTTAAAGTGAAATGCTGTGAAGAAGCGGAGTCTATCTGCTAGTATATGTTCTACAGTTTCAAACCTGTTTCTATGATTAAGCCATTTTAGATCAATATTGCACTTTACAATTAACACAATGCAAAATAATGATCTATGTATGTTATAATTTACTACTAAGAAAACAGAAACCAGGAAACAGCATATGCTTTATTTAATCTAACTGAAGTAGTAGCATTAAGTACTATTCCATCTACATGAATCAACTTTATATATATATTCAAATTTCAGGCAATCAAGTGATCATTTTGTTGTGTATAAATGTGTACATGGAAGTATGTTTTGTCTGTGTCTGAAGAGCACTATTAACAGAACGACATGTGATGAAAAGCAGGAGATGTTTCAGTAGTCATCAGCCTGAGGGCATTGCAGCTGAGATAAGAAACTCCGGCCTATAATGAGTTAGGAAACGAGCCAGGCGGGATCACAGGAAAGGATGTGGCTAGCACTAAAGACGTGAGCCATTAGTTTTAATTGAAGAAGAACTACAGATAAGGTGAGAAGCGCGACGCCGCGGCCAAAGAGGAGCGCACATATAGATTAAGATTAGAAACTGGAGTAGCGGAGGGACTAGACAGACTAGACTGTAGCCATAATGGACAGGTTGAGGTGTATTGCCCTATTTGACCTCAGATGTCGACACTAGCAGGTGTGACTGGGTGGGGCTTGTTTCAGTTTAACACTCGCAGTCAGACACCTGTTATTGAAGCCTGGACAATTACTATTATATTCACTACTAGACAAGCAGAGGGAGCCTATTCTATTGTTATGCAGGAAATGTCATGTACCAGTGGAAAGGTACTGAGTAATAATAATACCTACCTCTTACCCACAGAGATATATTTTAACTAATCTGTACTGGCTTTTTGCCTTTGGGCTTCAACAGAGTAACCAATTTAAATATATTAACGAGCAGTGTTGTACCTAAAGATTATTTTTCTTTTCATATTTTGGGCGAACATGAACTGAAAGCTCTGCCTGATGAACGAACTGTAAACACGTTGATTCTGGTGTCTGTGAATGGTGCACTATCTATTTAACTTTGTTAAATAGCGTACCGGATTTCTTTAGCGTTCCAGGCAAAAACCTGGCTAAATACACTGTAAAGAGCCCTTAATATTTAGCAGAAAAACGTTCAATCTGGCAACAACACTAGCCACCAGTATTGTATCGCAGCATGGATCATCGAAACAAGACAAAACAAAAAAGTGAACCCCCCCCCCAAAAAAAAACACATAGTTTCTTTGTTAAAAACTCTTTTAACTTAATAATTGCTGTCCGTGGTTCTATATGGGCTTTGGCAATGATATTAAAAAACAATCGCTTGCAACAACGTATTGAAAAAAAGGTGATGAACTGGTTCATTTTTGGAACGATGAACAAACTAATAACTATAAACAATTATGAACTATAAATTAACTAGTTCATTTTGAAATTTGTGAATTGAACTTTGAAAATTTACTTTCCCAACACAGTTAACGGGGCCCATATTACGCTATTTTCTGATCTATACTATAATGTTGTTTCCTTACACAAGCATACCTGAAATTGTATATGGTTTCATTCACACCACTGTGTTTTTAAACTCTGCGCATAAATTACACATACACTAGATTAGTGTATGTACCTTTTTATAGTTCTAGTCCGACTAAAGTGAAATACCCGGCATAGTTTGTTCATTGACCTTGGGCGATAATGAGAACCAGTGCAACAGGAACTGGCAGTGCAACAGTTTGTGTATTTTAATATGTTACAGAGATAGTAGACAGGAAATCAACCTTGTTTTAGCGTTCTTAACACCTTTTTAGGTAAATATGATTTTAATATTTATTTTTATGAGATGGGATTTAGTTTAACATCCCCTTAACAAGTTTTTATTAACGGATTTAGCTTCATGAACGATCAGAGCTGGTGTCTCTTCTCTCTTTTCGCTTCGTTTTTTGGAGGAATGATTATTTTGTAAGAACATATGCAGCCAGTAAACAGGGCAATAAAAACCAGCAATGGTATGAATGTGTTTTAACCAGTCTTAATTACAGGCTGTGCAGAGTAAACACAGTGGACAGGCGGCCTGCTTGTAGACACAGGTGGAAGTGGACAGAGCAGGAGACCAAAGAAGATGAGTTCTTCAGTGACGTTTATGGCCATAACAGATTTGTCCTGTATTTTACGATGGTGCATTGTGTGCGTCTGTGTGTATCAAAGTGCAGCTGCTGATATAAACATAGCCAGGATGCTCCCACGGCAGAGCTAGCAGCTGCCTCAAAAGTTTACCGTCCGAACCTGCGCTAAATCACAAGCCTGTCCTGATTACGGTGACACTCTGTTAACACATAAGGACAAAGATGGCTGGAGAGAGAACCCTTAAACAAATAGCACAAAACATCTTGATTACAGTGCCGCTATAAATGGCTGTATTTGTGTAAGTGATTCAGGATCTTTCCAGAAATAAGCAGAAAATACTAGTCAATAATGATCATGTCTAGACAGTGTTTGGAATTGCAGTGTCATCTTGAAATTCATTAGTGACCACCCAAGTGAATGCAAGGAGGCAATCAGACAGTATACCATGCTAGAATCAACATTTTGTTAAATAAAAAAGAATATAATCCAAATACTTAAAGGATCTGTACCTGATTTTTTTTTCATGATTGAGTCTTGCCCAGCTCTCAAAATAAGTCACTGTACTGTCTAAGTCACTGTGTACTGTCTTCATCATAAAACCTTTGCTTGTCAGAGAATCTGGAAATGTACAGTTAGCATGCTAGTTGTTGTTAGCATTAGTCTGATGGCAAACTCCTTTCTGGTGCTTATAAACTCAGTGACTAATTAGGACACTTGGAATGAATAAGGTAAGTGAGAAATAACTTTGGACCACGTCAAACTGTTTTAAATGAACTAGTTCTGTTTTTCCACATTTTTAAGACAGTAACCTTTAATACAGAAAAATACTATCAAATACTGATTGAATAATTACGTAAATTGCAGCAAGCTTGGATGCAGATGAGTTGCTGTTATTGAACTATTTTGAGCTGGTAAACTTTATAAAATATATGAACCCTATTTGAATATTATAACAGCAAGGAAGCTTAAATATGCAAAGACCTACATTTAGTTACTGCACCTTGAGTAAAACTGAGTACAGGATTAGGGTTAAAACTATAGCTGAAAAGTGTGTGAGAGAGTGTGTGAGAGAGAGTTTGAGTCACTGAGGAGTAAAAGAAGCTGAAAAAGGGCAAATTCCGAATGATTTTTTTCTCAGCTTCAAAGCACCATCAAAGTTCAGTCATTCATCACCGGGATGGGACCACTCTGAGAACTCCCCCAAAAAACGTATTATACTTAGGCTCTTGGGATGTCTAAGCACTCTGCATTCAATGTGTGTGTGGCAAAGTATTTTATGTGTTTGTCCATGGAGAGGAAGGTGAAGAGTTGTCTAAAAAGTAGAGCATCCAGAAGCGGGATACAGAGAGGTCAGACGGGCCACTGCTATCTGTAAATCTATCAGTTGTCTGCAGATCAGATTTCTCCTCTGAGAATTTCACTCCCATAATTTTTTGGCATTTCCTGGTCAAACTTCCTGGTCCCATTGGCTTCTGAAGGCCTTAAAAGATCCAAACCTGGTATGTGTGTCAATGGGTCAGTAGACTGGGATATAACCCCCAGAGAGATTGCATTGAGGTCTTAGTGGTACTTTTAAGTCTATAAGTTTCATAGATTACAAACTCTCACATAAAAAGCTTGTGATGGTAGGTGGCCCTATTGTAACTGACACATCATGGTACAGTGTAATATTATTTTAGTGCATGCGTGCTCTAATACTTTTTAAGAAGCGCTGGTATGAGAAAATTAGTAACATTTGTGCAGCGAGCTCTCTCCACATGCCAACCTCTCCACTCAAGTCTACTTTTCTTCTCTAATCTCTCGATGTTCCAGGCCCGTAGGCTGGTTGGCCCTTTTGCAAATTGGAACTCATCACATCATCAGGTGGACTGTAACTGTTGCTTCACCCAAACGGGAAAAAATGACGCACAGGCTGGCGATAAACAGATAATAGGTTTTCCTTGAAATTCCACGAATGGAATGGCACCCCCTCGGGACCTGTTTACAGTTTACGAGACGGGAACAAACATAGCTTCGCACTCCCAACCACACACCCAGTCGATGCATCTGCTTGACTTTTAAAATACGTTTCCCAGAAGCCCCCTGTGTGACTCAGGAGACTATATATGTGGACGTCCCGCTGCTGGCTCATTATCGTTAGTGTTCAGGTTAGCTCAGTCACTGATGTGGTCCTAGCTAAAGCCTAATCACCCACATACCTTCATTTGCCTGTAGTCATAGTAGAAGCAATGCATCATGGGTATCTGGGTGCAATTGTATGCATATTTGGAATCTGACCAGGAGAAGGTAGACAGGAAAGTACGCATCTGACTCAGCGATGATACCAGCCCCGGTTACAGGTCTACTGCGTAATGTTTTTAGCCAATAGCTTAACATCTGTTTTTATGAGTTAACATTTAGCATCGCAGCTTCCTATCGACTGGTTTACTTTGTGATGACTGATTGCAGTAAATGCGGTTTGAGGCGGAGAGGTCTATTTTGTTTATTAGCACGAATTATTAACCTCTCTCTGTTTCTGGTTTGTAAGTTCAAAAGTCTGCCCAAGAGGCTGCTCTAATGCACACAAGACTTCCCTTTTGTTCTGCAGCAGGTTTGAATTTGTTGTGCTTGCTACGATGTATAATACCACTAAATGTTAACCACAAGGCCAGGATACACTGTGCCTAGCTCAAGGGCAGAATTGCTGGACTCTTATTGATCATATTGTTGACAATTATAAAATAAAAGCATCATGGGACTCTACCTGCTGTTTTAACTGGTGCATGAGTCTGTCTTTCTCCCTCTTCAAAGCCATCACTTCTTCCTGGGCCTTTTTTCGATTTGAGGCGGATATCTCCAGAAGAGCAATGTTGGCGTCCTTTTCACTGATGGCCGCCAATAGAGCCTGTTGCCTAAAAGAAAGAAAAGGAACACATCGTATTTATGTTACAGGCTTTATTATTTTGGACAGACATGAATGTAAAAGGGAGTGAAGAGTGGGGAGAGACATTCAGGAAACTGAGCCGGTAATTGATAAGGATTTGAGTTATTTTCTTAAATATGCCAATAAGTGGTAACTAAAGCCATATGATGATTCTGAGAGTTGGTTAAATCCAGCTGTCACTCACTCAGAGCATGACAGAGGCTGATCAGTAAGAGCCCTTTGTGAACCCAAAACTAGACTCCAAATCTGGTTAAAAGTCCCCATATCATCCAACCCTAATTAGACTGCATTGCACAGATTGCAATTTATTCAACTTTTTGTGATTTTTCAAAGTGTAATAATGTGTGTAAAATCTCTCAGTCATACAGGTAGAATCCATGGCAAAAGGAGAAATTCAACTGGTCAAGTGAACAAATGTTTTTGTTTTTTGTTCAAATACATTTCGCAACTCATCCAAGCTGCTTCTTCAGTTCTAGTCAGAATGTTGGTGAACACTTCCTTATATCTGCCTGATTGGAGGAGATAACTACAATGAGACTACTCTGAAACTAACACACCTACTTGTTGTTTATGTTAGTTAGCTCGGCCTATTGATGTTGCACTGAGTGTGGGGTTATTAGCATAATCATTCAGGGCCATAATGCTGCTTTCAAACCTCTGGGCCTGACCTGGCTACCCCTATTGTTGTCTTAGCTTGTTTTGATTTGGGTTTGCGGATGGACTTGTAAATAGGAGACCTCATCTGTCTCCTAATATAACCCCACACACCAGTGCAAGTTCAATAGGCCAAGCTAACAAACAGAAACTGTGATAAGTCCTCAAATCTTACAGATATTGGAATATAGGCTGGTGTTAGCTAGAGATGCAAGTTTCTGATATGATGATCTGCCAATTCCCGATATCTCCTGATACCAGTGTGGGGACTAATAACAGACTTTATTTTCCTAAAAACAAGAAATATTGTACGACAAAATGTGTATGTAGCTTTTATATACGTCTGAAGTAACTACATAACAACTTTGTATATTAAAAGTTCAAACATTATGAGACTTTCTAGACCAGGTATGACCAGTAATCTTTTTACATCAATTCATAGTCCCAGTCAAAATATCTGTAGAACCGATATTTTGGAGCTGATCCATGGATTTCATGGTATTGAAATTGGGATGGATTTCTGATATTCGATAACAGTGTTGGTATTGGTGCATCACTAGTCTCAGCCACTAATGGGCATAAACAGAAAACAAGAATGAATACGAATGACTATTTACAGACATACAAGGCAAACAGGTGGACCGTGCAGTGACGCAGATAAACAGCTGTGTACCGCTACAGACATAAACTGATGTCAATGAAAAGGCTTCTCTCTCAGACTGGCTTTCCACACAGACGAGGAAGACATCTTTGAAGTGGTCCTCTAAGTGCAGTATTAGCGTCACCTCAGTATGAGTCATGTGGAGGTAATCATGTAATGGAGTGGGCTGACATTTTATGACATCGTCTGTTACTGAGTCGAGTCACTGTGGTCACGGTGTGGTTAGAGGGCACTGATAAGAGCTACCACTGTGTACAGGTGTCCAGGAAGTGGTACAAGAGGTTAGTCAAAAAGGTTCAAATGACACACCACGTGATTGGAATGGTAATGTAAGGGCAAGTGATGCTATGCCAAAACCCAGATCTGGAATTTAATCATGCCTTGACCATAAAAGGCGCTGCCACTGTCTTAGTGCTGTCACAATACTAACATTTCAAACTTGATTTTGATAGTATGTAAAAGTGACAGATTTTTATACCACAGTGATAATAAAAACACACTCTTTTGTATACAATAGAATTTATTTTCTGAATATTAGAATGTAATACTATACTAACTCTGATGTAGACTATTCAAACTATTCAGGAAAGACTCAAGTTTGTCCATAGTTCCAATACTAGTATCCAGTATTTACATGATATGATTATGACTATTATTATTATTATTAGTAGTAGTAGTAGTAGTAGTAGTAGTAGTAGTAGTAGTAGTAGTAGTAGTAGTAGTAGTATTATCTGTGATTATTCAAAATTCTATTATTTTGTTGAAAGTATGGGCAAACATGTGAGGCAAAAAGTAAGATGTAGACCACATTTAGTCTGATTTAATATAATATTGTCAAGACCAACAATCTCAAAATTGTCCTTAATTATTCTCAGTAGTGTATTTTGCATTCAGCATGTATTTGTCTTACACAGTCAAGCATGACAGGACTGTTATCAATGAATGAAAACCTCGCAATGGTCAAATCACAATCAAAACACTTCAATCTTTTCCAATACTAAATTTCTTCAAGTGACCATTTATGGCTGTCAAATTAGCATTCCAAGTTAGACAAACAATATTCATCTCACAGCATTCAAATTATGTGTGCATTAAACTGGAGGGCAACAGTGCAGCTACAGTATTTCAAAGTTTGTGTGAGGTGAAGGAAAGAGGAAAGGACAGCAGTGGGAGGGTCACTTTGCAAATACACTCTATTAAAAAATGACCTGCAATAGACCGTGTTTTTATTCCATGATTTAAGTCCCTGCAGAAATAACCCAATTGAAAAAATAAACAAGCTGAACTTCGAAGTACGTCTTACTGGCCTGGGACTTCACATTCCGTGTTTTTAGTACAATTATCTCCACGCAGCATCTGGCCTCTGGATTCTCCCATTGAAGCATTAATAGGGCTCTGTGTGTTTGTGGGAGCATGCGTTGGGCCGTGCGTACATGTGTGCTTGACAGAGATTGTAGCAGCTAATCATACCATTAATCACAGAGCTGGACTGGCCTGACACATTTCGTCTCCCCACACCTCTGCTGTTATTTCTTTTAACGCTGACTGTAAGGGACACACACAGACCCACTGCCCTGGACCTGCGCAAATGCTTTACAGTGAAGATTTTTTGCATGGCTGGAAAATGGGTTATGGAAAAATGGTTTGACAGAATGAATATGAAATAAGATGTAGATGTGTATTTGTGTTTGAAGAAAAAGTGTACATTAGCTTAAAAAAGTTGACGGTTTGAAAAATAAGAAGCAAATTGTGTCTCTTGTCTAGACTTTTTTGGAATACTTTGGTAATGTACAAAGTAATGTATAAACTAATTACACTTCACAAACAAATTCAAAGATTGACAGCCATGAGTGCGTATGTTAACCTGTATTTCATTGCAAGATATTTGGAAATGTGCAAAATGTAAGTTATTTTAGTCTTCTTAAAAAAAATAAATAAAAAAATTATATATATATATATATATATATATATATATATATATATATATATATATATATATATATATATATATATATATATATATATATATATATATACACAACAACAATTACCATTACCAATTTAGGAAAATCTACTAATACTATACTATTAGTAGCTTAAGCCTCATTTTTCCTCATAACCAATCCACAACCACTACAGCAAGTAATCTGCCCACAAAGTTAGTGATATTATTTCTGCAGTACTACAACCATTGCTGCTACAAATACTACCACTACTATAATGTGCTACTATTACTACTATTTCTCCTAATATTGTAACCACAAAGCAGACCTGAGCCCCAGAATAAGCAAGTAGTTTTGCCAGCAATATCAATTTGTGAAAGTGAAATGATTCTGGAAGTCATTAACATTTATCTCTGATTTATCTGTCGACCTAAACTGTTTTTTTCCTAACGAAAGCACAGACCCAGAGTAGCCACATGCCTCATTGCAAATCACTTCCAGGCTCAAAATTAACACTGCAGAGCTGTACTGTCGATGGCCTATTCCCTGTGGGCGCTTTCTAAGTGGTATGGGGAGATTGTGCTGCTGACTGATGTCTTCCTAAAACAATAAAACAGGCATTAATATGATTAGCGTCCCTGTAATGTTTGTCTCCCACATCCTCAATCAGGGAATGCACCATGGACATTACTGCTCACTGATTACTTTTACTCGCTGTCTTTGAACTTAGCACACATCGGCGTATTTCATCTAGTCTAGTTTGACCGAATATCTGTCCTTAAATGTAATTTAAGATTCAGGATAGAGCTACGGAGGTGGGGGACACAGATATTAATAAGATAAATGATTGGACAGTATCTATTACCTCATTTCTATAACTTGTTTGTCGAGCAGCATGATTTTGGGAAAATTCAAATAGTGATTTTTCTGACAAATATTCCAATTAGATGTGCAATATATGTTTAAAAAGTAGGGTTACGTTCAGAATACACATTGTAAACAACTCCAGGAGTGTTAACATTTCAGAGAAGACTGGAATATGAACTGATACACAAAAAGTCTGAAGAGGTCTTTCTCTATAAAATAGCAGGATATTTAAGTCTTTGCAAAAACCATTCTATTTAAATAATTACTGCCTTTGTGATTTGATAATTGCACCTAAAACTCAAATTTGATTGCGATATATTGTGCAGCCCTACTTGTTTGGGCTGCACCACTCCAAGCTAACACGGACTTGGAGCATATTGAAAAAAAGAAAAGAATATATTTATTTCCTGTCTGATTGAAAGAGGCAGAGGTTCCATTACTTTTAAGATGAAGTTTGAGTCTTGACACTATTCACTAAACAGGCATCTGATGGTCCAATAAATTGACAAGTAAATCCCAAAGCGCAATATCCATATCAAAAGACTCAGTAGACTTGTGTTGCCTGATATGTGTGAAGTGTATTATAAAAGCAAGATGAAGTGACGGTCCATGCGTGTCCAAAGCCCGCAGCCTTAGCCCAGAGATGCATGGACACAACTGACAACTTATTTATAAGGGGTGAAATTCTCTGCTCCACTGCAACATGTGATTCCAATTGAGACTTCATGGTCCCTGGGACATATTGAGACATTGAGATCTAGAGAGGTGGGAGATGGATGGCTAAAGTACATGACCATGCGATGAGAGGTGAGAGGGAAATGCACACGAGGGGGTCGGGGTCAC